GTGAGTTCACAAAAAATTGAGATATGGCAATTGTGCTAAACAGAGACCACAAGGACTAACTGCCCTGTGCCAAGAACAACATGGATACCTTCTCTGAGGGTGCATAATTGATTCTTCTGGAGCACTTAAATTAGTCATAAAGAATTAACAACAACAACAACAACAACAACAATAAAGTTGGAAGGAACCTTGGAGGTCATCTAGTCCAACCCCCTGCAATTTAAATTGACTTGTTTCCCTGTTCACTCCCCGCTTCATGTTTGGCTGCATTCACACAGTATGTTTAGCTATTATGGACCTAGTAGCTTCATTCGTATAATGTACTAAGCCTGGTTTATATTAACTTTGGCTTCATCTTGATATTTTGTGACTTAGTACTTTGTGTGAACCCAGGCTGTTTGGTTAGTTTATGATTCAAGGAATTGTACACATTCAAACTCTCTGGATCATTTCTATAAAAGATTGTAGTGCCAATAAAGGAGAATATTTGTAGTTCAGGGTAGAAATGAGAGGTCCTTGGTGCTCTCTGAGCCTGGTTATTTTCTTACAGAGGTTTCATTACCCAAACTAGGTAATGTCATCAGTGCAAGCAAGAAAACAACCAAACTCAGAGAGCATCAAAGACCCCTAATATTGTAGGGCAGTGATGGCGAACCTTTTAGAGACTGAGTGCCCAAAAACTGGCCCTACCCCCACTCCACCCTCTGCCCCACCCTTGCCCCACCTCCACCCCACCTGCCCTCAGGGCCACTCACCACATCCAGGGCCCACTGCAGATCGCCCAGGCAGCCCAACAGCGCCATGGTGGCCACGCCCTCTGCCCGTGCCCCGCAGCATCAACTGTGCGGGATGGGGCATGAGGGCAGAGTCTTGTCTACGTTGCCTGGCTGCCATGTCCTTGGCTGCACTGCTCCGTGTGAGCCATGCTCGGGAGTTACTCTCCTCCAGGGGGGCTGCTGGTGAGGAGGGGGTCGTGGGGGGAGGCGAGGCTGGGGCAACGGCACGTGTGCCCACAGAGAGGGCTCCGAGTGCCGCCTCTGGCACACGTGCCAAAGGTTCGCCACCACTGTTGTAGGGCTAACTAAAGGCCATCTTGGCCTGAGAAGCAGTGAGTAAATATTTGGTTAAAGATGTTCCTAGAAAGTAGATGATTAGGACATGGGGAAATATCACAGGAAAAAAATACTGATTTAATTTGGGGCATTTGGTGCTTTAGTCAACAAAATTAGGAAATCAATTCGACCTTTTAATTGAGTGCTGGAGTGGTCAATGTTAAAAGGAATTAAATCAAAATGGAGTAACTTTGAAACAAGGATCAGCATGGTTGGTAAAATTACTGCTTGTACAGAAATTTACTTACTTACTTACTTATTTTTCCTATTTCTTAACCACCCATCTCTCTCAGAAATGCATATGAATTTGTATCAAAGTACATTGTGTGGGTAAAGTGTACCAAAGAATATTTTGTAATATGTTATTATTTAGGTAGAAAGAAAAGAAAAATAAAATAATAAAATAAAATAAAACTGATATTTTATTTTATATATATATCATCTTGGAGATTCACCTCCTTATGCTTCTGTCAGCTTCTGTCAGCCCATCTTACTTTTGTCTTTTTTCTCAGCAAAGAGGTACACATCTCAGAAAATATTTGTTTAAAACTAATCCCTCTTTTCCTATTAAGAATCCCAGATGGTCCTGGTGCATTCTTAAGAATAAAGATGATGCTAGAGATTCCATGGTTGTCAACTTTCAAAAAAAGGGACTTCCTTTGCCTTATTTAATTTTCCAGCTCCTGGGATCTATCATTTCTGGACATTATTAGTATATTGAATTTTAAGGAATAATTGGAAATCAGATTTTCAAATGCAGATAAACAAACCAAAAACAAAGCTAGGTATTTCTTACACTGAGATTTTTAATTTAATCGAAGAAGAAGAAGAAGAAGAAGAAGAAGAAGAAGAAGAAGAAGAAGAAGAAAGAAGAAGAAGAAGAAGAAGAAGAAGAAGAAGAAGAAGAAGAAGAAGAAGAAGAAGAAGAAGAAGAAGAAGAAGAAGAAGAAGAAGAAGAAGAAGAAGAAGAAGAAGAAGAAGAAGAAGAAGAAGCCGCCACCATCAGGTTATTGCTGATGACCACATAACCTGATCTTTCAATTCTTCCAATGTGCACCCATCACCTCTGTAACTGAGTCAATCCATGTTGTTGCTGTTGGCCTTTTCTTCTGTTTCCTTCCACCTTTCCCAGCATGAGATCCTTCCCTAGAGAGCTAGTTCTTCACATAATGCATCTGAAGTAGGACAATTTGAGTCTGGTCATTTGTGCTTCAAGTGAGAACTCTAGGTTGATTTGCTCAATGATACATTTGTTTGTTATTTCGACAGACTCACATGCCTTTATTTTCAGCACCAAAACCTATTCTCTCTCTTTCCCTGCCCACTTGTGGTAGCATTTCTTAGAAATGCTATTGGACATGCATCCACAGGAACCTTTATTTGGTATCCATGATTACATGAACATAGTGCGTCCAGATTTGGGTGTTTAAAGTTAACGTTGTAAGGCTATAGGACTGGGAAATATTTCCCACTCAAATCAGCTAAAGTTGGAATGCTGACAAAAAATAAGTCATGACTAGTGAGAAGCAAGAGGGAAATGGAGACATAATCTGGGATTACTAGGAAAATGCTGTTTTAGAAACTAAGCTTTAAGGGCAAAGTATTCTACTGATTATGTACTATCAAGTTGGCATTGACTTTTAGTGATTCTATAGTTAGATACTGGAGATTTCTGTCTGTCCCTAACTATCAGTCACAAAGAATGTCCTGTTTGACTTCTTATATTCTCCAGTTGTATTGCTCAAATAATACTTTAATGGCCTGTTAATTGTCCTTTGGCCTGACCGGCTAAGCTGCTGTAAGGTGATTTTAAAATCAAGTCATGCCTACTTTTGCAGATGATCAAGTGGAAGTGCCAACTATTGCAACAGAAGTGGACATCTTGCTTGGTAAGTAAAAATGTTATAAATAGATCCAAAGGTATAAAAGGTTCAACTCTGTGGAGGTCCAATCTCACTATGAGGATCAAAGGTGAGAAAGTATGGTGAATATTTAAAATGCTTCAGGTTGTAATTCTACCCAGATAAGTTCTAACTATGTTAATGAGCATAGCTCGTGTGTGTGTGTGTGTGTGTGTGTGTGTGTCTGCATGTGTGTCTTTGTGTGTGTGTGTCTGTGTGGGGGTGAGGCAGAGAAAGCCTACTATTCCAGTATTTGAGGGGCTGCCACAAAGAAGAGGGGGTCACGTTATTCACCAAAGCACCAGAGGGCAGTACAAGAAACAATGGTTGAAAACTGACCAAAGAGAGAAGCAACCTGGAATTAAGGAGAAACTTCCTGACAGTGAGGACAATTAACTAGTAGAACACTTTGCCTTCAAAAATCATGGGTGCTCTATCACTGGAGGTTTTTAAGAAGAGACTAGACAGTCACTTGTCTGAGATGGTATAGGTTCTCCTGCTTGAGCATAGGGCTGGACTAGAAGACCTCCAAGGTGCCTTCCAGCTCTATTCTATTCTATGTCAGGAAAAATTTGATTCTCCAGTAAAAATCTAAATGGCTTTTAAAAAATTTGGTATTCAAGATTTGGGATTCAGTTAAGTTGCTTGGTAGGAATTTTCTTCTATGAAGTCATTTAGAAGACAAGTATTGCACCTAATATGGACTGGAATAACATGCAAATCTATTATTACTGGGAGGAGAAAGATTAGGTCTTCTCACAAAAGCTTATGGAAGAGATAGCACAATCACTACCTTTTTAAAATTGTCCTAAATCATTATTTTAAATAAAAGTAAATATCAGGCATATTTACAGGGATGCTTATAGGTCCCATTAGGATGGAAGAAACATTCTTGGCCACTAGATTGGCTTCTAATAAATCTCACTTAATGATGTATTAAACACTTATCTTATTCCTCTCTAATTAAAAATCCTACTGATAGTGTTAGCTTTGCACACTTTTGAGACTAGGTTTGCCTACCAACTCAACAGGGGATCATGGGGCGAACCATTTTTGTTTAGCTACCCTTGAGATGAAAGTAGTAGTAGATGAAAGAAGAATATATTTATTGGTAAGGATCCACATTCAGCGTGTAGTATTTCAGGGACAAAATATATGGGAAAACCATAACCTGAATCTGGAAAGTGAACTGCTCTTCCATAGAGAAGCATATCAAACTGGACAGGCTGTCTTCAACTTACAGCCATTCATTTAGCGACCATTCAAAGTTACAACAGCACTGCAAAAGGTGATTTACAACCAGTCCTTGCACTTATGATTGTCACAGCATCCCTATAGCATGTGATCAAAATTTGGATGCTTGACAACCAGCATGAAGTTAAGACGTTGCAGCGTCCCAGGTCATGAGATTGTTTGTGACTTTCCCAGCCAGCTTCTGACAAAGTCAATGGATTCACTTAACGACTGTGGTGAATTACTTCAAAATTGCAATGATTTGCATAACAGTCATGGCAAAAACAGTCATAAAATTCTGGTTCCAAGTGTGGTTATAAGTTGAGGATTACTTCAGCATATCTGACAGATGTGTTTATGAGTTAGACTAAGTTATAAAGTTATAGAGTTACTGCTCTTGATGTCCAATTTTCAATGACATCAATCCACATCCTAGGAATACTTCCTCTTTCTTTTCAGCCAGAATATTAACTCTTATTCCAATTCTGATTTGGAAATAGTTATTTATTAGTTAGTTAATTATCAGTTCAATTATATGAAATGGAAAAACAGTTTTATTTTGGGGTGGTGGTGGTTGTACTTGTGTTATGTCGACTGTTTGATTTTTCAAATGAGATTTGGATTTGTGAAAGATGTTTAAGGGAAATAATTTTTAAAGAAATCGCAACATCGTAATTCTGTACAAATCTTGTATTCAGTGCAAAGCCATTTTGAATAGACAAAAGTATCACAACTACAAGCAATTTCTATTAAAAATCTTTATAAAGTGTACTAATCTTGAAGAAGATACTCGACATGGATTACATTCAGTGCAAATAAAAAAATCATATCCACAAATTCTTTTTATTACAAAATTCTCAGAAGAGTGGATTTAAATATCAGTGATGAAATGGATGTTAAAATTTGTTTTAAAAAAAACAAAGAAAAAATAAGCTATGACAACTCTTCAAAATATAGAGGTCTTAAAAACACATTTACTTTTTTAAAAAAAAAACCAAATACAATTAAAAACACGTAAAAACAAAATAAGAAGGAAACTTTATCAAAAGGAATACAAGAAAATACCTGGGAACTATAATCCTTATATTCTATGGATTTCTGTAAGAATGATGTTCCAATCTGCATAAATTGTAACATATCAGTGTGAATTTGGAAACTTAAACGGAGCCCTGCTGGAGCAGACTGATTGTCTAATCAGAGCAGCATCCTATTTCCGACAGTGGCAGCTCACAGACCCGAAAGTCGGGTGCAGAATGAATCACAACTTGTTGCTCTCAGTTCAGAGATGGAGAACCTGCCAGGAACTTTACAACATTGTACCGAAGAATTTGTTTACTCTTGTTTTAAAGGCGGTTAAAAGGTCAAGATCACATCTGGCAAGTCCAAGACATATTGCTGATTGTGGCAAAGGAAAAGATAGCAGCCCATCTCCCTCTGTTACCCTCCATACATGAAAGCTGACAGATAGCTTAAAGGTGGAGGAAAGCTTGTGGGGAGTGTCTACATTGGAGAGAAAGGAATGGCTATTGCTCCCCACAATATCGGCCATTTGAGGAAGTTGCACTGATTTATCTACCGATGGCCTCAATTCTTCAGTTAGCCAAAGTAAAAAGTTATAGGACCTCGTTGGACTGTTGCAAATAATTTAGGAGCTGGATTTGATTTGGTGAGAAATAAATTGTACTGGTCTGCTGGTATGATCTTATTCACCTCATATAGGGAGTCATCAAGTGCACAGTTCATTGTGTCCAAGCATAAGTTATTTGTTCTGTTCTCCAAAGTATGCATCACCTTGAAGGGCTCATAACGATTTGGGTGGTCTGCATTCTGTAATGTGACTCATTGTTCTGTCTGCCTGGAAGCCTGTGTGTGTGTGTGTGTGTGTGTGTTTGTATGTATGATATTTCTCCATACATAGTTGCTGAGTTTGCTAAAGGGGCCAGTAGTTGTAACAATGAAACATCAGAGAGAAGCAGACATACTTTGTTTTGCAAATACAGCCCTTTAGCATTTCTACAAACCCTGCATTGATTCCAGATTTCTTGTCACCATAGATTAACACAACTCTCCTGCTGAAAGGGTAGTACTTCTATTGTCATTCTTCCCTTTATGGATATCTAACACAGTCCATCCCGTAGAATACTTTCCGTCTCTTTGCAAATTATGTTCACCCTCTTGCAGACAAAGGTCTTCCTTTAAAATTCCATCAGGACTTGGGGAGAGGCGAAACAAAACTTCTCCCCCAGCGCTTCCACCCTGAGGTTAAGAGTAATCTCAGAGTTTTATTCTATCACTTTGTGATTACTGTTTTCCTACAAACGTTAACAGCATGGGTCGAGAACTGTACATTTCACAGCAGCAGATGAAGAAAAATGGACTTTTCTTTCATCCCAAGATTAGGTGAAAAGAACTACTCTTATCTGCCAAGTTTGTAATTCTGCCATTCTTCTACTGTATACCTTTGGAACAGGTATAGCTTTTACAATAATATGAAGTGACTGCTTAGGTGTGCTCAACATAGCTTGACTGATTTGCCTTCAAGCTAGCTTTGGATTCCTGCTGTTCTGTCCTTGCTGTTAACACACATCGCTCAAAATATAGTTAGACTCTAGCAGGATCTGGGAATCCAAAATTCAAGAATGCTGTCTATCAAAAATGTCAGCTGTTTCTCCGGTTGAATCTATGGGAAAACAAAGAGACAACTTAATCAATTCTTCAGTTCAGGAAGAAAAGAGAAACAGTTATATTAGTACTTTTGTTTACAAATATATATTTATGAAAGGCCTTATTAAAAAGGCCTTAGGCAAATTAAAAAACAACAACTGAGATTAAGACTTTAAAATGTCCTACTTATTTCATTCCTATGTGTATTTGCACAAGGAATCTTCAGTCCATATATCAGATTTAAGTAATTTAAATCTTTTAATTATTCGATTATTGCACCTGGAGATGGATTCTGTACTTGACAAAATGAATATCTATCATGGCCCAAATGTTTATGTGTGTTTGTATATGCTTTCAAAATGTAGGATGCTGACAAATTGCATTGTTTTCCTCCTTTCTTTTCTTTCGTCACCCATCTGCAATCATGAGGGCTAGAAATTTCCTTTTCAAAAGCGTGAAAGTAGAATTACTCTTAAGAGTTGCCAGTCATCCTCATTTTATCCCTGAAGTTTCTCTCTTTTTGACCTTTAAAGATCACCTTAAACACATAATTAACTCCATAACGGAACACTAATTTTTACCTTGTCGTCGTTTGAATGCAATGGGAAGTTCTCGGTTGGGGATGAGGATTCCTAAGTGAAGAGCTTCTACCGGCTTGTCGTCAGTAGCTACAATCTGATACTTCCGTATAAGCTGTAATACAAAGAGAAAAATGTTCATTAGAGCCTCCCCAACCTGTAATCAAGATGTATTCTGAGTTGGGGAACCTGTCAGTTAAGCAAAATATAGAGTCTGTGTCAAAGTTTAAACCCCACAGGCAGTAACAGCAGGAAAATATGATACAGTAAAGTTCATAAGGCTTTGAAAAGTTCACCCCTTTCAGTAAGAGAAATAAGCAATATTTTTAGGTAGGAAGGATTGTAGCAATGCTTTGTATATCATTTGGTCACTTCTCCAGCACAGAATCACAGAACCCTAAAATTAGAAAGGATCTTCTGATCCAATCCTTTGTTGAGTGCAGGATCACTATAGCACCTCTGATAGATGACCACCCAGCCTCTGTTGCAAAGAGAGTCCTCCTCCTGAATTTAATGAAAAATTGGAAGTTCATCTTGTCAAAAAGACAATTCACCCTTCAGTACAAAGGGAAAAGTTGCTCCAAATTACCCTTTCGGTTCTTTCAGCAGGGCTTGCCCAGAAAAACCTTGCCCAGATTGTTTCTCAGGAGATCCTGGGCCCCACACTTCATTTAAGAACAACTGTAAGCTGTTCTATAACATTTTAAAAAATCAACGTTGATGTATTAAAGATTGTAATAAATTTCCACTAATATTTTAATAATTTAGCTTAAAGAAACACAAAGCTTGCATTCGCTGCTCTTCCAGGCTCTTCCTCCAAGGTGATGATAAGGAGAGAAACCAAGAGTTTCTTCACCCATTGAAAAATTAACCACAGCTAAGTTCTACCTTTAAACCTTGAGCTGTGAAAACTAGCCAATTTTGCAATCTGTGCTTGTTTCTTCTAATACACTTTAAGATTCATACACAAGTTGGATTCAGTTGATGTAGAGAATTATGAAGAATGCAAAACCAAAGCAGAAGCATACCTATATCTTTCCTTGTGGCCATGTCTGAAGAAGAACATTAAGCTCAAGCATTGCTATGCTACATGCAAAGCTGCTATATTCTCTGCTTTGAAAAAAAAAAAAGCCTTAGGCTCTCAGATCTCTGTCTCTCAAGCTAAATACCATAGGGGATTAACAAAATTGCAGTGGAGAAGGTATGTAGGTATAGGTAACTTATATGGATGTCAGTCTTCCAGGTAAACCAGATAAGAAGCACAATTAGAAGAGTTAATTCTACATTATTGTAAGGCTACTTTAACAGACTCTTGCAAGTCTGAAAGTACAAACTTCCCACCATCACTTTTAACAGTCTGATCAATTGAGGCAGGTCTTTCTTAAGTTTTTTTCTCAGACCATTAACTGACTGTGGGTTCTTCCCTCTCTTGTCTGATAGTTCCCTAAGTAGCATCTCTTTCCTTCATTCTCCAAGATCATCCGCACATTCCATTACAATGGAATACATTTTTGCTGCCACAGAATGCTTACTCTTTTGTACAGATTAATGGGGGAGACATATGTATCTAACTTAACTGAATGCTTACCCAACAGAGAGCTAGCTGAAGTTGCAGCTCTGCCAGTCGGCGCCCAACACACATTCTTTTTCCAATGCCAAAGGGAGCATGAGAAAATGGATGGATGGTTTTTTGCAACCAACGCTCTGGCTGAAACTCACTCCAGTTACTGAAATATTCTTCATTGCATCCCAGAGCGTAAGTGTTAATCATCAACACAGTCTGTAAATACAAACACAAATACACAAAGTGTATTTACAAAGCAGTGAGAAAAATGTCAAATGAGTGGAGCATGCAGCATGGACATATTTTGCTTCGGGGGGGGGGGGACACTCAAGGAAGTTGCCTATAATGAAACATTGATGCTGAACCCAAAGTAGATGCGTATCACAATCCAAAGGAAAGATCATAGTCAACAACAAGAGATAAAATTATGGCCAGAATTTTCAAAACTTCTTGCAATGAAGATATATTTTCAGTGAATTAAAACAGGCAGGATTTTAGTTCTTTGGAGAAATGGCAAACTTAGGGAGAAAAATACAGGATTGTTTCTCCTCTTTACAAGACAAGTTAAATGAGATTTAACTTGACTTGGAGTCATTTTTAGGATCAGGATCAGATTTCAAACATGTTAAGTAATGCTACAGAAAACAGAGATTTCCATACCTCTAAGAAATCAAGGGCAGGCCTTATAATTTAAGATAAAAAATTTAGGAAGGGCAATGATGTGAAAATATGTTTTATTATTTTACTGGGCTGATCACTAAGGGAGGAGCTGCACTGGTTAAATGTCTGCTTATATATACCAATCATGTTCACATAGGGCAATTAATCTGCTTACTGAATTTACTTATTTTCTGAATTCACTCAATACTTTGAATCTAATCAAACAAACTTAGCTTGCATAAGGAAAAAAAATCATTATCTTCATCAAGTTAACTCTAACCAGGTAGAATGTTATTGATAACCTCTTGAATAAGCTGGTTAAGGAAGTTGTATTAAAATAGCGACTATAAAGCAACATGGATATCAAGGCAGCTGTCATTATTCAATTTTCCCAAATACCCCCACACAATGATACAATGAATGCTGGCTGAGCAGAATTTAAAATAAATACGATCTACAGTTTGCTCAGTGGCCTCTTAGTAATATATTTGGTCTGAGGACCTCAAGTGTGTGATGGAGCCCATTTTTGGGTTATGCTGAGTGATGTTTTTCTAATTTTCTCTTGGTTGTTCTGTTTCATCTTTTTTTTAAATGTACTTTTATTATTTTTCATATTGTTAGACACTCAGAATCATGTACTTGAGATAAGGTGGCCTAATAAATCCAGTAAATGTCCATATCAGAGAAAATTGCTGTTATCTGATCAAGAAAAGCTAGATATTATATATGTATATTATAGCAAGGAGCCACAGACAATATTTTGTGGGTGTGAGTAAAGGCCGAAATGGATAAAAGCTGGATGTCATACATATGGATAGAATAAGGATGATTTTTTTCTGCATTTTGGGGACTGAGGGAGATAAGCGTTTTTTCTTCTTTTGCTTAATTGATGTTAAACTCAATATAGATCTTACATTACATTTTGTGTCTATTCCCAGCTCATAATGGAAAGAAATCATGTGAGAAAGTGCTACCAGAAGGTGTAAAATGATATTTTTTGAGTCAGCTTTGAGTCAGTTCCTGTATATTTAAGAGATTTGAGATTTAAAAGCAATTTCAACACTATGCCTGGCATATATCATGACACAAAGATGATCAAGCATTTGACTTCCAACCATTGACATGCTAGCAAGTGTGATAAGATATAAGGCCAATCACATTTTGCATCAATGCTGTTGTTGGCAGCAAAACAAAAGTTATACATTCAACCATTTAATCAAAATAAATTACAGTAGGTGGTAGAAGTCACTTACCCCTTTTGGAAGAGCATAATTCCCAAGGACTGTTTCTTTGTCAAGGGTTCGTGTGGTAAACGGCACAGAAGGTGTTAACCTACAGTAAAATGGGATAAGTACACTTTATTTTGGGGGGTGGATGGGTGTCAAACCTATCTATCAAGGGGTACACACCTTATCAGCTGAACTATACAAAACATCCAGAGGTAACCCAAGTGACTTTCTAAACCTGTTGCTCAGAGCATCATGAATAAGCTGGTTAAGGATGTTGTGTTAACATCCTTATTTTAGAAAGGTTTGGCGTAAACATTTCAAAATTCTTTTGGTTTCTCACTTTTCACAGCAGAGAAGACCCTTCCAACAAAATTGCTACATATTTTACAGCCTGGGAATGAACTTTAAAGTAGGTGTGCCAACCTTAGGAAGGGTCCCTTCTGAGCCTTTTGTGTTGTCTATTATCCATCTGTGGGCTGTGCTATCTCTTATCTGACTGTTCCCTAGGTAGCATCTCTTTCCCCTGTCTCCCAAGATCTTCTCCACATACCACTACACCATGCTCTTTGTCCTCAAACAAGGAGAAAAAGGTGGCCTAGGTGGAATTTCAGCCTGTTCTATTTAGGTATCCATCTTACATCAGCCTTCCTTTGAGCTATCAACAGTTATTTGAATTTTTTGCTCTACAGCTGCCAATTCAAGGGGAAAGAACAATTTTATTCTTAGGTTTGTGAATCAGTTTACCTCATTGACTCTTTCAGGCATGCCTTCAAATAAGGCATTTTTTTCAGGTGTTCACAATTTGGGTCTTCTCCAGGTGAAACCACATTCTGTATTTCCTCAAACAGTTTTGCCTGGACATCTGGCTTGCAGGAGATGTTGTACAGAGCCCAAAGTAAACTGTTGGCAGTCTAAAAAAAGCAACAGAAATCACTCTGAATACTAGCAAAAGAAACCTAAACACATCGTGCTAAAAAATGATTTTGTTTTATAGGGAACTTTGGTAGGTTAAAAAACCTGAACTTGCTCTTACCCAAGGAATGTGAAGACACTTAAAAACATTAGGCTTTACAATTTAGAGAAACATCTGTGACCCTACAATTTGGAGATTGATGAAAACAAGAGATCAATAATCTGAAGTCCTGAGGCCACAGAAGCTTCTAAAAGCCTCAGTTACCGAATTACAAATTTGTAATGCAGCCGAAAAAATATTATTAAATGTATAATTGTATGGTGTTCACATTAACTATTTAATTTTAATTAACGAAGAAAATAAAATTACACTTTTTGTCCAGGTCCCATCCATTATTGCTTCTGATGTGGTTCCACTCAGTGGAATTTTATATTCACAAAGATTTGTGTATGTCTAATGTAAGA